TGAATGGTTTTAAAGTATAGTGCCATACAGAGTACCCTGTGGTAATGTGGGTTTGAAACACGATGGGGTTCCCACCTCTGATAAGAAAAGATTGAACCACCTAGTGAAGCACAAATGAGGAAAATATAACAACCAGTACTGTTTTTCTCATCCATGCATCTCAGTCCCCAAACAGAATGATAAACGTTGTTAATTTGCTACAGTATCATGAGTTATTTTCAAAGACATGGTATCACAAGCCTACAGAACTGAGCCAAATACACAAGTCTGAAATGCTCTATCTATATTTCATGAAAGCTAAAGATTGACATGCCCAGGAAGTAGATCCATTTTTGGTGGCCCCACGATCCTCTTTGGGCTGTGTGCATCTTTTTTTAAAGAGTCTGTAGTGGTATATGAAAAAGGAAGAAGGGATGATTTGCTGTCTTAACTAAGGCACATGATAAATGTGGTTCAATTACATTCTGTTTACTTTAATTCCCACTTGTAGTTTCAGCAAGATGCTGTAATTAATGCGCACCATTGTCTGTCCCAAAGAGTGTTGTCTAGGGCTGCAGTTGTGCCATTAAACATTTGTCGGCTTTGATCACAGTGCTGGCTGAATCATGTTATTGGTAACATTTGTGAAGTGCTTTGGGATGAAAGTTCCCCATGACTGAAAGCTCCAGAGGAGGAAGGGGTCTCTACTCCCCCTGTTGGTTAACAGGAAAAATGGCAACCCTAGGCAGCTTCGTTTGCAGAGGTCACCACCTACTCCTGATTCTTTTAGTGTGCTGCGTGGGGGTTACTGCACTGATAGAGGGAGTTAGAAATTTGGGAGTTAGTAGAATCCTAGAGGGGAAAAGATTTCTTAACTAGTGGCAAAAAGTTTATTTTCAAATGTTCAAGGCTCTGCTCAAATGTCTAGTGTACTCTAGGCTTTGCTCCTGATGGTGTTTTGCTGTAAGACAACACTGAAGGCTTTGAAATGAAAGATGAGGTAGAATGGAGGCTTTGCTGTAAGAACTAGCACAAAGGACCACAGCAGAGCTAAGCTGACTGGTGGGACCACATTTACGCAGCACTAATTTTTCTGAATCATGAAGCTGCATTAGGCAGTGGTACCTTTGAAGGGACCAGGTAAACACATCTCTTGTGACTAGAGATGGGCCTACCAATCCTCCTTGTGCCACTTTGCTGCTTCAGACCATAAGTGTTGTTGAAATTGGGGGGGGGAATGAGGTATTTCAATCCCAGGACTCTACCTGTAAAATATTTTCACCAGTGGGTGGGCAGGGAGTTAGATAGGCTTCTGCTGAAATACCAGCAAAGGGATTTTTTTTTTGCCTTTATTTGCATATGTATTTAGTAGCTGTGTTTTCCCAACTGTATAACTGTATTCCCTTCTCCTTTATAAAGATGCTAGGGTATATGCACTGTTTCAGAACAAAAGGAGTGGTCTGGGATTTGGGAGGGTTCTGCTTGGCCAGAGGTTTCAGGATGGATATATATTGATTTTCCCCAGGTTCCTAGATTGGGACTTGATTTTAGTTGCCATATTTACTCATATATCACCGGATCCTTTTCCTCAGAAACCACTCCCTCCTCTCCCCACCTCAGAATTGGGATGCTTGTCTTAAGCACGGAGGCTGATTTTCTTCCCTTAATAGATGCACCCCACTTTGATTCCTGCTCCAGCTTTGAGTCCTGCTTATAGCAGCAGTGGCATTTCTGTTCAGGCAGCTGAGGGAGTCACTTGACTTCATATTACATTGTTCTTCACTCTACAGTTGTTAATGATTGCCTCTCCTTTGTAATAGTCTTGATATTTGACTAATTGAGCTAAACTTTCATTTGTCTATCTTGCTGTCCTTTAGCTACTCCTAGTTTCTCTACATATTTTACAGCCTTACAGAATATTTTTAGCTTTTTTCAAAACTGTAGATTCACCCATGCTGACCAGGCTTCAGCAGCAGCTAGGGTTTCAGCTTTTGACTGAGCAGAAAACGGAGGGTGTGAGCTGAAGATAAGGTTCTGTCCCTGCTGTATGCAGTTATAACTCTGGAAAAATCTTTTTTTCTTCATTCTGCCTTTCCAGAAACAAAGTGTGTATCTTATTTGGGGGCATGTGATATACAAGAAAATACAGTATTTGAAGGGGAAAATCCTTGGTATATTGAACACAGCCCATTTTGCTTCCATTAACGATCTGGAAGAAGGGTTACTTTAATTGCATCTGGTGAATGTGACCTAGAATTTTCCAGCTTGTACTATGAGTATATATAGTGATGCAGGAGAAATAATCATGGTTGTTGGGATGCTGATACTTGTTTTTTGCGACTCTTCCCCTGACCAACTTTGCTTTTCTCTGTTTTCAACTCTAGCAGGTGATAGCAACAGAACAGTAGTATAACTAAGGGCAGGGTGACCAGGGCACCAGTTCCACATGATGATGTAAAGGAGACACAAAAATATCAGCCATCACCACTATTTTCTTAGCTGCTGCACTGCCACCAGCAGTGTGGCTTTGGCCATTGCCCCATGCACCACTGCCACCCAGAGCACAGAATTGCTTAGTTACACCTCTGCAAAGACATGAAGTCAGGAAATTGCATGGAGCCAAAAGTGAGTAGGGATATGTACAGATGAGCTAGTTACCATGAGGTAACAGATTAACTCTCTTTCACTGACGGCTAAACTACCATAATTTATTTTTCAACTGCCATGGAGTAAGAGCATATATACCAGCACTTACCATGGAGTAAATCCCTGCTCCCTTTCACTTCACAGTGGGCGCATCTACACAACATAGTACATTGCTATGGCAGTGTAGCATTGGTGGACATGAACCACGATGCAGTCGCGACGGCACAGTCGTAACGACCTGTGCGGCACCAGGATTGCACACTACTGGTGGCTACTGTGCAGTTGAGCTCACATGCACCCAGTGACTAGTTCAAATGCCTACATTTTAATTGGTAGCAGTTTAAGGTAGAAGAGATGATAATGCATTTATGCATAGACATATATTTTGATGGATCAGTCACTGTTATGAGATTGCTTTCTACCTATGTATGTCTAAATAGTTAAAAGATAAGGTGCCAGGAGATGGAGTTCATGAATATGTAGCAGGGGTCTTGAGTTTTTTAGAAACGATATAACTTCTTGTTATAGACCTCAAATTATTCCCTCTATGCAGTTATTGCCATCAGCCCTTAACAGACATGTTACAGTGGTAGGAATGATAATGAGATGGCAAAGGATCTTCTTTTGGTCATGAGAGAAATGGAAAGGAGAAAAAGCAGGAAATGAGAGAGTCAGTGCTTGTGGTGCTGAAGATGAGACTTTACTAACTCAGCGTCCTTGTAGCACATAGCACATTGTTCTACAGCAATCCTCAAAAGCATTGCAGAATCTCTAGTGTAACCTGGAATCTTTGGCTCATTAATATTTTTACTATGTAGTACTTTTCTCCAAGGATGTGTCATAAAACAGACAAATCAATGCTGTGGACTAAGCTGTTAGAGAAGTTTGAGGTAACAATGTCATTCAGTGAAACAGCAATATTAATTTTTTATCTCCACCCAAAAATAAATTGTGAAAAGGTGAAAGTGACAAAAATGGGTTTGGGGGGAGAAGGAAAATGTTGTCGTGTTACACAGAGATATATACTAAACAGAGACTGTTAAAAAGAGGGAATAAATTAGAAAAGATTTGACCTTGTCTTTTTAAGTGGGGACTCAGGCATAAAACTGCATTGTGGGTCACATTCATGTATTTAATGACAGGTCTTTTGTCTTTGTTCAACCATCTGCTTATACAGATTGGAAAGGAGCAACAGGGAAGAAATATGGTATTTTCTTACATGATGCAACAAGATGTTGCTTTTCCTGGCCACATGTAAAATGAATTTATAGCGGAAACATGCCAGAAATGCCTGAGGGAAACACTAGCCTTAACAGAATTCTGATATTTTTTTTCAACATTGAATAATGGAACTGAATGCCTTTTTTCTTAAAACAACACAAGGATGGATGGCTGCATTTCACTGAAGGGAGAAATCAAAGCTACACATTTCATAGGCTACAGCAGGAAAAAGTTATTGAGCTCCAGGGTCTTGTATGTGCTCACATGCACATAGAAATAGATCTAAATGTTGCTCAGTATGCAGGAAGCTCATAGAGAAAGATTTCCTGATTGCTTATTAGGTAATTATATTTATTCTAAGGTGTTCAGCACTGTAGAAACTGGGCACATATTACATGGGTTGGGCAGGGCAAACTTCATGTTCCCCAAATAAACAGAACAAGTATACCAGGAGTTTCTGCAGTGACTAAAGAACATATTTGGAAAATATCTATACATTTGAGTAAGGGGGTTGATTCAAAGCTTGCTGAGATCTATGGAAAGACTCCCATTGGCTTCACTGGATTTTAGATTAAGCCCAAAAGATCAGGGAAACCAGAACTCCCAGTTAATAGATGACTGCATCTTGCAGTGCACTTCAGAATACAGATAAGGCAGGGTGTAGAGGTGTGTCCTGTTGGAAGGAATTCCAGTGGTGGGAGTCCATAAGCAAATTGCAATCTTCAAGACAAGGAGGTGATGAAGAGACCAAGGGGCCAGGTGTAGGTCCCAATTATACCAGGCATAAATCTATTAACTCCAATGACTCGGTGCAGTTATTTCAGACTCGGAATGGTGTAACTGAGAGCTGAACATAGGTCATACTGCACCTGCAATAGAGCTATAGATAAAAAGTACAAAAGAAGTGAGAAAGATTAAAGCAACTCTTCCCAGCCAGTTACTACACACATGGTCTGGTTACCATAATGCCAAAACTTCCATGTTGGTTAAAATTTCATCACTTACACTCTGGGAATGATCATTTCCTCTCAACATGCTGACAAAGCTCATTGTTTATTGCTCACAGCATGTCAGAACTGCTGGTTTTGCTTTAGATTGCAGGATGTTTGAAAAGCCACATTCTTTTTCTGCAGCCAGCTTGCAGTTGCTAAGTCCCTCGGTGCCAGACTCAGCCGGTACGTTTCTCTTTCCTTCAGGATGCTGGAGCCTGTCTCAGATGAGCTAGAGCAGAACTGTTTTGAAAGCAACACAGGAGAATGTCAGATTGAAACTGACCAAACAGAGTGAGATTTTTTTGGACAATCAGGGCCAAATTATTCCTGGCAGCTGCGCTTATGGCTTTTCCAGAAGAATCAGGGATCAAGGGGAAAGAGATGGGTGGGGCTATTGTCTCATTGTTGCTCCCCTCGACATCTCTTGAGAGGCCACCCCAGAGGGCATGTCACGAATTAAGCCATGGGAGGCTGGTCTAGAGGTACCCCCAGCATCTCCACAGTGTAATATTTTGCCAGACCTGCCCATGCTCTTCACATAATCCTTCACATTGTCCCTCTCAATGGCAGGGATAAAATTTATAGAGGGTTTACCTACAGAAAGGGAGCCATACCTGCTACATCACAGGTGTTTTGTTATAAGGTGACCATATGTCCCATTTTTTCTGAGGAGAATCCCACTTTAAACACCAGTCCTGGGCATCCCATCAGTTTCTTCCAATGAATGCTTTTGTCCTGTTTTCAAAATCATTCCTGATGGAGGAGTAGGAGAGGTTTCTGAAAATGGGACAAAGTGTTTATTTCAAGAAATCAATGAAATATCTGGGACAGATTTCTCTCTCTCTTTCTGTCTTGTACACACACACACACACACACACACACACACACACACGTATGTGTAGGTGTGCATGCATGTCGGTGTACTCAACTTAGACCAGAGTGAGTGTCCTAGAGACTGAGAAGGTTGTGGGGGGGAGCTTATCCCATGTTATGATTCAAGAAATAGTCACTCTAGCCTGCTAACACTTTGTACCCACTTTGGTGACTGCTTGGCCAGGTTTTAGAAATTGCCCTTTGTGACTGGGGAAACCAGGGAGAGGAAGCAGACAGATTAAAATGATGGGTTGTAGTAGCCAAAAAAGGAGAGGGCAGTATGGGTCATTATTGTCTGTAGTGATGCCAAGCCCCTCACCAAACCTAGCATTGCACCAACAGCAAAAGCTAAGCTGTGCATATCAGCAAATTCTGAACAAACTACTTGCACAGCAAGAGATCAGGAAAAGGGTAATCTTGCAGGAGATGGAACTCATGCCATGACTTGCTTTGTGATTCTGGGCAGATCAGCAAAGCCTGTATCCATTCATATGTACAATGCTTCATTTTTTTCAGTGCCTATCTTGAGCTTAATAGTGGTGCTAAACACCTGCAGCCACCACTTGTAGCAGGCTGCATGCAGGCTGCATGCCTCTGGGGCTCCTGCACAGCCACAGGCAGTAAGTAAGCAGTTGCGAGCCTGCTCTGGGGAATTGGGCCAGCTGAGAAAGAGAATTGGCTGGCCCCATAGGAGTTAAAAGCTCCCAGGGTTCAGAGAGAATGTAGCTGAGAGAAGGAGAGGACGCAGATAGGGTTCTGGACGAGCCCCAGGCACCACATCAGGACTGCCTTTCTCCCAGAGGTTTGCAAGAGACTTTGAAGAAACCCTGAGAGATGCTGAGAGACTGTGAGTTGCTGGAGTGAAACTGATGAAGAGAGAAGAGTGGAGGGCTGGTGGCAGCAGATCTAAGCCTGGGAATTCTCATGGATTTGCGAAAGACCACAGGGGGTGACATAACCCCATTGTTTGGATTGTTCCCTGCAGGGAACATGTGTGCCCCAGGGAATCAAGCTAAGCAGATCCCCAGCCCACTATATGTGGTGGAGAACATGGGCACTTGCAGACTAAAATGAACTCCCGCTACAGAGGAAGCAACTGGGCAGGTTCACCATTGAGCAGAATCAGCATAACAGGCTAACCTTGACTTTTCACGGAACAAGTATGGGGGTGTCCCTGTAGCCTCAAAACAGGATTAGAGGCTAATGATACCACTTCTGACACAGCTACAGACTGAAATAAGGATACTAAATAAAGTCGTCTGCAAACACGCTCAGATGAGCCAGGACTATTAAAGCAGGTGATGCAGACAGTAGTGCAGAGTGATCAAGCCAGTAGTATTTCACAAAAGCAAAGTATGGAGTTCTAGCAAACCTGGCTAGAAATGCAGCAGAGATTTTTGGATCAGCTATCTGCCCTATATTTAAAGGCAAAGGGCAACTAGATGGCAGAAAACGTCAATACAGAGGCTGAGGCCCTAAAAAAGCTAAGACACCAACTAGCATCTCAGCTATTCTCAGATGAGGTAGCTGAGGCGGCAGCACTCCTGTAATGGAAGCTCGCTGCTGAGCAATATAGTTGAAAACAAGCAGAAGAAGAAGTGACATCATTGAGACAATGCCTGCAGACTGGGAAGAAAGAAGCAAGGAGTAAAGAATTAAGGCACCTACTTGCTGCAGAGGCAGAGGTAAAGAGCTGAAACAACTGATACTCACTGAAAAGAAAGAAGTAAGAGGTGAAGGTGGCAATGTTAAGAAAAGAGGTAACTGATGCCATATCTCATACTGCAGAGAAGGGCCATGGGACAGGAACTATTTGAAGGAAAAGGAGAACCAGGAGGTGTCCATAGACACCTTAAAGTGGCAATTAAAAGATCTGGAGAAGTGCCAGAGAGAGCTCAGCCAAGAGACAAGAAATTGGCAGGGAAAACATATTCAGACTGAGCAGCTCTTGGCATCAGTGCAAGAGGAACTTACTAGCACTCAGGTCCTGATGAAACAGCTAATGCAAATGGGCTACCTGTATTAACATCATGAGAATAAACTAGTTGTCATGAAGGGTAAATGCCAAAAGGAACTGTAACAGGGAACCCTAGCCCTGTCACCAGAAGACAGGTTGGCCCCTTTAAGGCCAGAACTTTCTGGGCACAGAGTGCCGGTAAGGCAGGGGTTAAAATCTGAGCCTGGCCAGCTAGTCAGCTGACCGGAAGGGGCAGACCAGGACTATAAAAACCCTGGGCTGAGTGGCAGTAGGGGCCATCAGCCAAAGGGGAAGGTGTATGTCCCAGAGCTCCATGGAGAGGCTTGGTGAGCAGTCCAAAGGCTGCAGGAGGGGAACTATGGAGGACCCCGGAGAGATGGCAGCAACCCTAGAGGAAGGACTGTAGCCGACGGTGGGGAGCTGAAGAACGAACCCTGCATAAATGTAAGCCAGCATGCTGACTTCTTTAATCACATTTCTCTTGGTGGTGGTTATTGCGCATGGACAAGACTGTTCCTATTTTTTGTTGTTGTTATTGACTAACACTGGTGGGTTGGGTGAGGCTATTGGGGAAGGAGGAGGCCTCACTGGGACCCCCCCCTACAGCGTGGGGACCAAGCACCAGTGTGAGTGCAGGATTTGGGGTGCACTGACCCTGGTGCCAGAGAAGGCGCGCTATTCGGGGGACACAGGCCCCACCGCCAATGTGGGCACAGGATTTTAGGGTGTACAGACCCCAGTGCTAGAGGGCATGATCCTAAAAGGCCTGGGTGGTCTGGTGCACCTGAGGTGAAATTTGGTTTTTTTTGGACGGGGACAGTGTGAGTTCAAGGCCTTTCCCCGGCCTTGAACGTGCAGCCCCCTGGCTGTGGGGCTGGTGGCCAGGCCTCTAGGACAGGCTCCAGACAGGAGCAGAAAGAAGGGCCACGAGCCTCAAGACAAGGGAACAAAGACTTGTGCCTCGGAGTCAAACCCTGCTTGGTGGGTTTAGACAGGGAGGCCTAGCTAGAAAAAGACAGGGGTCAAGGTCCGTGGAGGCGGAAGACCCCCAACATACGAAATACAATAGGCAGTCTCCCGCTTACAAGAACATCAGTATAATAACTTCCATCAAGACGTGGCAGGAGAGTAGAAAGCGGGACACAAGAACCGTAAAGGGGACTTCAAGGGCACCCCACATAAGGCATGGATAACAGGGAAGATGGCGCTGGGGAGGGTGACCTGTTACAGGAACATAAACAGAGGCAGAAGGGTGTCCGTGTCTTGCAGGACCAACTCACCAGTCTCCAAGAAGATAATATCAGGCTGGCAGAGGAAAAACAGTTGGTTAGTGAGAAGTCAAGCCTTGAACAGAAAGTGTTCGAGACAGAGCTTGACCAGATGGAAAAGACATGCACATGAGCTGGAGCACCTGAGGCTAGAATATGGAAAAGTGGGAGCTAGGAACGGACAACAATGGAGAGATAGCAGAGTGACTGAGTGGGTGGAGGACCAAGAACTGAAAGGAAGGCTGGAGAAAGAGCCTTGACAAAACCACACCTTGGAGAGAGTGTTGCAGCAAACCCACATGCCTGGGGTGAAGATTACCTATGCTGGAGGACCAGCTACAGGTGTAGCACTCTGGAAGGCAACCCAAGGGGACATGGGGGTCAGGGGAACCCTGCCTTTGGTTAAGCTACAATTAGAAGGGTGGCCAGATGTCAAGTGGGTACTGACTGTGTCCACCGCAATCCAGAATTGGGGAGAGGCTGCTAAGATGCCCCAAACAGGAGTTATGGGGTTTGGGAAGGGGGAGAAAACTCCCAGGGAAACAATGAAGACTTTTTGGGGTGAAAACAGCCACAGGAACCGAGACCAGAGGTCTGGCCAACTCAGCTCTACAGTGTTTCAGGCTCAGCTGGAGGAAGCTGAAGCAAGCATTCCAGAGTTTGGAAGAACAAAAAAAGGGAAGAGCTGAGGCACAGGGACTATGAGTTTCAAATACCCTAGTGAAGCCACATAGGCAATTGCCACATTGGATGGACAGGTAGTGTGTGGCAGGCCCATGTAGGTAAAACTGGACAGAGAGACGGTTTCCTATGGTAACAGCCAAACAGAGGTACTGCCTTGGGACCTAAAGAACTGTGGGGTAGAATCTGGGCCTGGGAGAAAGCCCCAGGGGGTGGCTGGGAAGCCACTTACCAGAAGGGCTGGGGCTTGGAAACAGATTGCCCTGCTCCCAGCCCTTGGCCTGTCAGCTGAGCCCTTTTGGCAGAAAGGAGCAGATCTCCTGAGCAGGAACTGATCGACTGATACCTGAGCTGCTTTGGGAACTGTGATTAAGAGGCCCACAAGACCAGGATCAGGGAGTAGGCATTGAAACAGTTCCCTGGAGCTGACGGCCGGGGTAGAGGCAATGACCCAGAGCTGGGTTGAGTTTGTGTTAGCTGTTGTGTTTAAATTACAACATAAACAAAATATCCACATAATGTTTATATTGTGGATTAAACTATAACACCGGAGGACTGGGTGTAGCTATCAGGTGAGGTTTAGAGGCTATGGCTTCTGAGAGGCACACTGAGATTTAGAGGACAGAGGGTACCAGAGGGGCGCACCACATTCACATGGTGCCAGAGGTCATGTGATAGACATGAAACAGCCTTGCCCTGAGCGGGGGATGCCAGGGGGCTTGTGACTGAGAATCTGAGAGCAGCCTCACCTTGAGCAAGGAATACCAGGGTGAGTTGGGGGGAGGGGTGCAGCTGGAGCCTGAAGCCATCAAAGCTAAGACCAAAACCAAAGATAGAGCCTGAAGCTGTTAAGCTAAAGCCAGAACCGGGGCTTGAGAGAGTGCAGCTAGAGCCAGAGCGGTGATGGCTGTGACTTGAAGGCATTAAAGCTAACACCAAATCCCACAAGGGGCAAAAACGAGGGCCAGGGGGCCCAGAGCTAAGGAGACTGCAGCTAGAGCCCAAGAGGAGTGATAGCTATAGCCTAAAACCAAAGAAGCTAAGACTAGAGCCTAAGTGGGGCAAATGACCAATGGTTAACATCCACAAGACATGGGCATGGCTACAGGAGAGGATGGAGACCACAAAATGAGCCCTTAAGACAACTAGAGTGCAAAGGCATGGATGGGCCAGGAGGGTCCTATCAAGCGCCTAACAGTGGATAAAGATTTGGAAGAGGGTGCCCGTCTTGAAAGTGGGGGGATGTGTAGCATGCTGCATATAAGCGGCATGCCTCCGGGGATGCTGCATAGCTGCAGGAAGCCATAGGCAGTAAGCAAGCAAGAAATCTCATGAGGTCCAACAAGGACAAGTGGGAAGTCCTGCACTCAGGATGAAACCATCCCATGCACCAGCACAGGCTGGGGGCTGATGGACTGGCAGCAGCTCTGCAGAAAAGGACCTGGGGGTTACAGTGAACAATAAGCTGAATATGAACCAACAGTGTGCACTTGTTGCCAAGAAGGCTAACGGCATACTGGGCTGCAGGAGCGGGAGGGTTGCCAGCAGGTCAAGGGAAGTGATTATTCCTCTCTATTCAGCACTGGTGAGGCCACAACTGGAGTGCTGTGTTCAGTTTTGGGCCCCCACTACAGAAAGGATGTGGACAAATTGGGAGGGTCCAGCAGAGGGAAACAAAAATGGTGAAGGGGCTGGGGGACACAACTTATGAGAAAAGACTGAGGGAACTGGGGTTATTTAGTCTAGAGAAGAGAAGACTGAGATGGGACTTAACAACAGCCTTCAACTACTTGGAGTGGGGTTTGAATGAGGATGGAGCTAGACTGTTCTCAGTGGTGGCAGATGACAGAACAAGGAGCAGTGGTGTCAAGTTGCAGCAAAGGAAGTTTAGGTTAGATATTAGGAAGAATGTTCTTACTTGGAAGACAGTAAAATTCTGGAACAGGTTACCAAGAGAGGTGGTGGAATCTCTGTCCTTGGAGGTTTTTAAGATCTGGCTAGACAGAGCTTTGGCTGGGATGATCTAGCTGGGTAGGTGTCATAGGGTGGGGTCCCTAGGGACGGCCGTGATGCCCCTAGGGCCCTGTGACTATGCTAGTTTTGGCCTATGGGCGCCTTCTATTCTCTTCTGCCATGTCTTGATAGTTAAGATAATAGATGGTAGGTGGGGAGGCTGCCCTCAAGTTGCTATGCAGTCACAGTCCTGGTGGACCCCACTTAACCGTGTGGTTCTTAGACCCCTTGCTGAGTTCCACTCTAAGTAAGTCTCTCACGGGACACCCCAAGCCTTATGGGTTTGATGCATGGCTCCAAAACCATCCCTTTACCACGTCCCCATGTCTTACAGGTGGTATTCAAACATTGTCCCTCTGAGGCCTTGATCTAGCTCGGCCTCCTATTGTCACTTAGCCCTCGGCCCCTGTCTACACACCCTCACTAATGCTGGGCTCTCCACAGCCCTGTCTGCGCACCCTTACTGGCACTGGGGCTCTGCATGGTAGTGTGCCCCAGTAAATCCTCCTCCTCCCAAATAGCCTCACGCCGGTCCACGATAGTAAAAGCAACAACATAAATATGAGCCCCTGGGCTACAACATAACAGCAACCATAACAGTGGAGGTCACACTCTGTCCCTTTAAGAGCGCCAGTTTCTCCCTCAGCAGTGTGTGCCTCCTAGCCCCAGATACTTTAGGAGCTCCTAAACTTCATTAGTCTTACCAGCAGTAGTGCAGGCACCCAGGTATCTCCTTAGAGATTTTCTGCACAAACTCCACTCCCCCTGGCAGCTGCTGGGGCCCTAACTGCCTTCAGTACTTATGGGCCCAGGGCCCTGCCTTCTTCCAGTCAGCTGCCTTCTTCCAGGCGCAGGTGCAGGCTAATTCCCTCATTAGCCTGCTGCCACAGTAACCTGCACCTGTGAGGTTTCTGTCTGGCTCCTAGTGCCCACTCTCTCTAGGCAGTTTCAGCCCTTAAAGAAGCAGGCACCTTAGTGTCCTGCGACAGTAGGTCCTGCCTTGAGCAAGCTGGACTAGATGACCTCCTAAGGTGCCTTCCAACCCTAATTTTCTATGATTTTAAGCAGTTGCAAGCCTGCTCTGGGGGATTGGGACAGCTGATAAAGATAATTGGCTGGCCCCATAGGAGTTAAAAGTTCCCAGGGTTCAGAGAGAACACAGCTGAGAGAGAGAGAAAGTAGGAGGCAGCGGCAGTGGTGGCAGCAGTAGTGCTAGTGGTGGCGGCAGCAGCAGCAGCAGTTGGCTCCTGGAGGAGCCCCAAGCATTAAACCAGGACTGACTCTCTTCTGGTGGTTTGCAAGAAACCGTGAAGAAACCTTGAGATATGCTGAGAGACTGAGTTTATAGAGACACTGAGTTGCTGAAGTGAAACTGATGGAGAGAGAAGAGTGCGAGCAGACCCGAGCCCCGGCACTCTTGCTGGTCTGGAACAGACGACAGGGGATGAGAGAGGCCTGTTGTTTAGGTTGTTCCCTGCGGGGAGCATGTGTGCCCCAGGGAAACAAGGGAACGACTCAAACTCTGTTTTGAGTTAAGCAGATCCCCAACCAACTACATCACTCAAGCACCCTTATCTCCTTTTTAGGTAAGTACATGATAATAATTAGTTACAGGTTGCATATTTATAGTGCTTTCTGTCCTGGGGCTTATGTACACTTCCTTAATGCTGCCCGGGAGAAAGCCTTGCCTGCTTACTCCTGTTCCATGCATGCCCCAAAAGAGGCAATGTAATACCTTATGGTGGCACTCAGCACGCATTTAGTGTCCCTGAGTCTCTACTGCAGGCATGCTGTTCAGAGTGGGCTCAGTACTGCTCAAGTGACTACTTTGCATCTCTTCTGGGATTTAGTTTCTGCAAAGTAGTGTGAGAGGACAAGGTATGCCCTGGTGGCACTGCTGGGCACATCATGGAAGAGGGCAGGCTATACCCTAGGAACAGCTAAAGCTTCAGGACCTTAGCAACGTTGAATATCAAAATTGGGGTGTCTCAAGCTGGGTGTCCAAAACTAATGGGCCCTTTTAAAAATGTAGGCTCTCTGTGTTTCTGTTTACCCATCAATAATGGGGATAATACCTGCCTGTCTCACAAGGGTGGTGTGATGCTTGAATCATTAATTTTGGGTAACTGTTCTGAGATCCTGGCATAGAACGTGGCTATAGAAATGCAAATCATTATTACTTATGCTTTATCCAAGATATGTATTTCTAATTACTGCTGACATCACAAACATCTATTTGAGTTCAGGAAGGGGTGCAGGTGCTACAGGTCTGGGCATGTTATCTTTTTGTATGGGCCACAACCGCAACCTCAGATTTGGGTCCAAATTTCTCCTGGTTGTGGCGGAGTTTGTAGGTGAGGTTTTGGTGAAACATCTCTCTTTGTCACTTGTTGCACAGAAAACAACCTTGGACTTGGGTCATCACAGGAAATGGGCCTCTGAACCCTGAACAAATTTGGTCTGCATAAGCAGGGGTGCTACAGACAAGAATGAAAATACCTGAGAGACTGGAAATGCAAGGCCTCTCGCCAAGAGTTTGAAATCACTTGAAGTCTAACAGTGATTTCTACAATCTTTGTAGAGATAAGTGGTAGAAAGCAGGGTAGATTTGCATTTTATGAACCAATAATGCAGAGATGTATAACATAAACTGTCATGGGAAGCTGGGAGACAGCGACCACGAGCTGATCACCTTCACCATCCGCCAAAAAGCTGGCAAGTCAGTCAGCAACATGGAAGTCCTTGACTTTAGGAAAGCCGACTTTGACAAGGTCAGGAGGCTTGTCAGTGACGCCCTAAGGGACCATGACCACGGGGAAAGGGGAGTTCAAGAAGAGTGGTTGCTCCTCAAGGGAGCGATGCTCAATGCACAAACTAAGTCTATTCCATCTCGGAGAAAAGGCAGCAAGAGGGCACAGCAGCGCCCCTGGCTCTCCAGGGACCTAGCAGACCTCCTGAGGCTAAAAAGAAAGGCCTACAAAGGATAGGAGTCACCTCCAAGGAGGATTATTTTGCACTGGTCCGGTCCTGTAGGGAGCATACCAGGAAAGCCAAGGCTGCAACTGAACTCCAACTAGCTTTGAGCATCAAGGACAATAAAAAGTCCTTTTTCAGATATGTGGGGAGCCAGAGGAAAAGCAGGGGCAACATTG